ATACAAAGGACGCACAAGTTGGGCAAATAATTTTTAAGTGTTAAAGTTAATTCTGTTTTCAGTTTGAGAAAAATTCTTAAAGTCATTATGCGAGTCTTGATCTGAGATCCTAGTATTTTATTTTTCTTAAACTTGTTTTTTAGTAAACTAATTTAGTGTGTTTTTTGCTCAGTAAGCACTGATTTGAAATAAGTAGTGTATAATTTATGAACTTTACCTTTCTAAGGTTCTTCAAAAAGACATTCTGTTTAAAAGTTCTCTGACTGGATCATATAGTGAATATGTAAGGATATTTCTGTATTCTTAATAAATGATATTTTATCCATACGAGAGATATCTTTGCTTTCAGATCTTTACTAAAAACACTCTGCTATTTGAGTGGCATTTATTGAGTTTCTATTATATGTCATTTATAGTTGTAGCTACTGATAGATTTGGAGAATTTTAAACTGAAATGAAGTAATTATTCATTCAGAGTAGTAGGATGCCAGTGTGAGGAGGAAATGCTCGAAGTTTAAACAATTTTATTAGTACGTAACATGGCATTAATTATGCTATAGCATTGATTTCTCCATTTTATCTGAGATTGACTTTATTTGTAATTAATTAAAGTGACAACTGCTATTGTTGAATTTTGTGAATATTGAATATTGAATGCGTGAATATTGTGAATGGTTGAACATAGAGTGATCTTGATAAAATTGAATGATTTGGTAAGATTAAGTCTATTATTAATGATGAATACTTAAAAGTTAAGTTGTTTAAAAAAAGGAGATGTTAATCCTGGAGTTCTGTTTTAAGTGTGAATTTAACTGCTTTGTTGTTAGTAAACTTTTCCTTTCTTAATCTGTGTAAAGGTCTGAACACGAGAGACATTCCCCAAACTGCCCATTTGTGAAAGGTGAGCACACACAGAATGTGCCATTGTCAGTCACTCTTGCAACAAGTCCTGCACAGTTTCCTTGCACGGATGGAACCGACAGAATATCTTGCTTTGGGTCGGGGAGCTGCCCTCATTTCCTAGCTGCTGCAACTAAACGAGGAAAGATCTGCATATGGGATGTTTCCAAACTTATGAAGGTATGTTTTAATTTTAAGGCAACAGATTACTCATTGAAGAAAAAATCAGTTGTAAACTTAGGCTTTTCATTGCTTTAGGTGCACTTAAAGTTTGAAATTAATGCCTATGATCCAGCAATTGTACAACAGCTTATTCTATCTGGAGAACCGAGCTCAGGAGTTGATTCAAGGAGACCAACTTTGGCATGGCTGGAGGACTCTTCTAGTTGCTCAGATATACCCAAATTGGAAGGAGATAGGTATGTGAATTTGTTTTGGTAGAATTTATCAATGTTATATGTTTTCTTTTCCTAAATTTTACATTCTCATAGTCTAATTAAGGAAGAAGAAACGATTATCAGGTTAAGACCTGATGAGGAATAAATGTTTGGTTAGAAATCTGAAAACTGATTTTTGAAGAAAATTTTCATTCAGAAATGCTATAGTCTATAAAATATACTTTATTTTCTATCTTAATCTGTGTCAGTTGGAAATAATTGCCACAGTGAAAAATAAAGTCTAAATAATGAAATGAAATTCTTGAATTAGATTTATAATTTCACCTTCTACTAAATCTTTTCCTAGATCAGATGAACCAAATGACTTTTTAGTTTCTCTTTTTTCATGAGTACCTCAAATTACAGGAGTGCTAACAAACAGTGAAATGACCTGAAGTGACTCAAGAGGATCTATGTATTTTAAACAGTATACCAGAAATCAGAGTGAATTGAGGTACCATAATTATTGCTATAGAAACATTTTGGCCAAATTGCTGCTTTGAATTCTCCTCCACTCAACTTCTGTGACAGATTCCTCAGTTTTGTAGCTGCATCTGCTTTATGTGGGGCAGGAGAGTCTAAGTATAATCCTACTTTACCCACTTGTTTCTTAAGAAGCTCTGCAATTGTGACTCTGAACTGGGCTGAGATCACACAGCAACATTTGCAATATTGTAGGCAGAATGACGGGTTCCGTAAAACACTCAGCTTGTGATAAGCAGTAGGAGCTACCACTTGTAAGATTCAGTGGATAGCAATGTGAGATGGAGCCTATTTAACTTTGATCAAATGTCCTGATACACTGAGAATTTCCACCATTTCACTTGCAGGGGCTTCTTATGTTTCTAATGTGTGATTGGTGTTACGCTACAGTCAGTGATTTACCATTTTACTTCACATCACCTTTGGTGGCATGTACTTTTGTTAAGAAGTAATGTGAAATTTTATTAATAGAAATTATTTCACTAATAGAATTAATGAAAAATTCACAACATATGTTACCTTTGTCTAGTTACACTTGGCAGTAACATGTTAAATAAAGCTTCATGGTCGTTCTCAGTCTTTATGAATCCCTGTGAAGTCTTTTTGTTTTTTCTTATTTTTTTTATTTTGTGTCATCCTTGCGCAGGGGCCATGCTAATCTTCTCTGTATTGTTCCAATTTTAGTATATGTGCTGCCGAAGTGAGGAAGCACCCTGTGAAGTCTTGATTAGAAAGCAGCTTGTACATTGTTGTCTGGGTTTTTGACTGTATTTGCCAGTAAGACTGGAAACTAAGCATATTTGATTTGTGATATTTTAACAGTTAGTAGAAAATTAATAGAAGATAATGAAATTTGCATATCCTTTGGACACTGATTTTTTTTTTTTTTTTTTTTTGGAGACAGAGTCTCTCTCTGTTACCCTGGCTAGAGTGCCATGCCATCAGCCTAGCTCACAGCAACCTCAAACTCCTGGGCTCAAGCGATCCTCCTGCCTCAGCCTCCCAAGTAGCTGGGACTACAGGCATGCGCCGCCATGCCCGCCTAATATTTTCTTTCTCTATATATTTTTAGTTGTCCAGATCATTTCTTTCTATTTTTTAGTAGAGACGGGGTCTTGCTCTTGCTCAGGCTAGTCTCGAACTCCTGACCTTGAGCGATCCACCTGCCTTGGCCTCCCAGAGTGCTAGGATTACAGGCGTGAGCCACCGCACCTGGCCTAGACACCAATTTTAATTAGAACTTTGTCTTGGAATTTTGTAATTTGAGGATTAAAAATTGAGTCAAAATATACTTCTAGGATTATACCCCCTCACATGCATACCCACAATCCCCTAGTTAAAATGTACCTTTTTAGGTAAGCATGTATGTGATCTTTCTAATGGAAACACCCCACAATATTGTATGGGATTGTGTGCTGGAGTTGAGGTACAAATCTCTCTGCTCGCTTTTAAGAAACAATCTGTCTAGGGTAGAAAGACTGTTTTCTCTGAAGAAAGTGTCAAATGAATCATACAAAAAGATTACCCTATGCTGGTATGGTAGGAGGAAGCCGAAGATGTGAAACTTCATCCCTAACTTTAAGCCTCCTGTCTGCTCTTCCCTTCCCCCATTGGTAGGAGAAGTCCTGTTGGATTGGTAATGAATATAGTGAGCCAAACTACTTCTGACTTTATGTGGCACAAAATACAATATAATTGGTTTTAAAATAGACTATGTGGATTTCATCAGCTTGAAGAAGAATACATTAATTGGCAAAATTGAAGCTTATTCAGGAAATTTAAAGTAATTAGGAGTATAGCTTGCTTAGGAATTGTTTTTGACCATTTTTACCTAGAAGACAACATATGTCTTTGTTTTGAATTTATTCAAGGAAGATTTGGGAACACACTTAATTGTAATGAATTAACATTTTGTCTGAATGTTTCATTTTTCATTTATATGTTATAGCTTGTGAAATTTATAAAAATTTCCTGGATTTAACTTTGAAGTTGTTTATGATATTGGTATAAACCAGGGTATCCCTGTGATGCTAGTATGTGTAGTTTTTAGAAACACATATGATCTTAATATTTTTTAACTTACCCATAATATGTGTTTTGTATGTTTATTACTTTGTAGAGGGTTTTGTATCATCTAACAGGCTTTGGTAAATTTAGTGCCTATTATATACCTAATGCATGCTTATTGTAGAAAAATTAGAAAATACAGGAATGGAAATTGAAGAGACATAGAGTAGCCATAATGACATTATGAGGTTATATTAACATGCGTATTTTAGGTTTTCTTTACTTGTGATTTTTAAAAGGTTTTATTGATGTGTACTTTTCATACCACAAAACTCACCCTTTAAGTGTACTATTCAATGATTTCACCCATATGATTTTATCATGTAACAGTTTGAGAATTTTTCTGTCACAAAATACTTTAGAAATAGATGATTATATTTTTGAAGACCTTCAGAATAAAACTTTCTTTCCAACTTAAGGTTTTTATGTGGCAACCTTCTTTAAAATATGGAGACACATCAATTCCTTCTTTAAAATATACTACTTTATTTTGATGTTTATTTCAGTACAGTTGGGTAATATTTGGCTATTTTTCTTTCTTTTTTTTTTTTTTTTT